GCAAGCAGCAAACCATAAACAATTATTTATTAAATATTAAGCAAATAAGAAATATTGTTGAAAACATATGTAAAGTTATCATACAAATACAAGAAATTATAAATGTTTATTTGCCAAATGGAGAAAAAAAAACAAAAACAAAACTAATAATTAATTATATATATATATATATCTGAGTATATACTATTGTGCAAAAAATAACTGTATTATCGATGTGCATGGTCAACTATTTGAAATAACCGCGTATATATGTACGAGAAAATGCACTTACAACAACAAAAACAAGTTTTTCAACAAACATTCCTGCTATAAGCAACAGCACAGCCAACTTCAAGACATTACCGTTAGCAAATAATTTTTATCCTTACTTGTACAACATAATTCTTTTAAATGTTAACTCTTACCACAACAACAACATACATGTCTAAGTGTTATTTGTACATTTCTAACAAAAATACAATTATATTTTCCTGTGATGTGCAAAATATTAAAAGAAAAATCTCTGCACATGAACCTAGTGGGTATTTACAACTACAGATATGTATATGTTTCAATGTCATCTCAATACGATAAATACATACATACATATAACAAATGTCATACATATATCAGTGTAATGTGTACCTTATCTTACTACATACAAAAACAAATATCAAAACTATTCAAATATTTATGTGCAAAAACAAATATTTACACAATGTATTAACCTTAAAAAAGCATATTTACAAGTACTTAAAGTACCCTTATATATATATATATGTATATGCATATAAATATAAATATATATTTACAAAAAAAAACACACACTCCAATATTATGTATGTATAATTGAAAATACCACATCAGATGCATTCCGCGCTATAATTGTTATAAGAAGTACTATATATATTTTTATGTTACTTGAATTATTTGTGTGTATATATATGTACATATTTTAACAAAATATATAAATATTTAAAATCAAAAACTTTCGATGTAATGTAAGCTTTCAGCACAAAAGAAAAAGCATAGCTAACTGTAAAATCACAAATTAGCACAAGAGCTTATAGTAAAGAAAACCACACATAATGAAGTGAAAGCTCTCAACAATAGTTTAATGCAATTCAACAATAATTTCACAAGCAAACTTGAACATTCACACAAAATATTTGAAATTTCACATTTAAAATTAGAGCTTGAAGCTTTCACAAGCAAACTTAAACATTCACACACAATATTTGAGATTTCACACTTAAAATTAGAGCTTCCACACTCAAAATTGTAGCTTTCATACGTAAATTAAAACTTTCACACGCAAAATTTCAAAATAATTTGGATATTTTGTAGGCAAGTTAGAGCTTTCACATAATTTTTAAGCTTTCACACGCCATTTAAAGCTTTCACACGCAAGTTGAAGCTTTTATATGCAAGTTGAGATTTTCATTTAAAAATGAAGAGCGTACAGCCGTAAATTGAAGCTTTCAGTTAATGGTTAAAGGTTTCACACGCACATTGAAACTTTTAAACGCAAGTTGAAGCTTTCATGGTTAAAAGCTTTCACACGAAATTTGAGCTTCTCACACGCAAATTGAAGCTTTCATTTTAATTGCAAAAACTTTCAATAAGTTGAAGCTTTCACTAATACTCTTGAAGCTTTACAGAAAAAATTTTGAGCTTACATGCACTAAATAGAGCTTTCACCACCCAAAATGCGCTTGCATTTCTTAAGGAAAATATCATCGTAAAACTTTAAATATTTATTGTATGAATGTTGATTTGTTATGTACACCTGCGTCGCGCTTAAAAGCTTAACTATATTATGTGTAAACAATTTCTGTATTTCCATACATAATATATATGTATAAATATACTTTACACATATACATGGAATAGGTGCACATACAGGCATACAACACGTAAAATCACTTATTTATTGGAAAACCCAGAGCAACCATTAACGCTAGCTTCATTGCACACACACAAACACCCTTCAAAATTTCATTATTTGCAAAATTTCTATATAATACAATTTTACTTAACTTTTCTACGAGGGCAGCTAAAAATTGTAGAATTTTGCAAATTCGTTATTTTGAAGTGCTTAAAAGACATTAAAGCACAAGCTCTTATAATTGAAAAAAGCACAATGAAAAAATATAATAAAAATCAAATTTAAAAACTGCACAAAGGCAAGAGCTTACAACAACCTTGTTGCATAGCTATGCACTTAAAAATATTTCAAACAAAATTTGAAATATTAGACGGCAAAAATTTACAAAAACTGAAACTTTTGAAAGCATAAAGTGTTAGCATCTCTAAAGATCTAATACATACATACCAATGATGCTATGTCAAGAGCGAAAAAAACAAAACATTATAATTGTAAGCGATTTTCATTGGCATAGATTGGCAAGAGAATCATTGATTTCGTATGTATGTGAAAGCTTTCAGCAAGCTTTCATAATTCCGCAAAAGAAAAATGTTAAAGCGCACAATTGAAAGATACTAAAGGCTTGAAAATATAGTGAAATGAGGTGTGGAGCAGAAAAAGGAAATGTCATGAAAGCACAAAAAGCTTTCGGATGGCTATTTTAAAGTACATAAATTTGGAAGCAATGTTAAGATTACAAAGTCTTAAAACGCACACAACTTTTTTTAGAGCACACGAAAACAGCAGTCATTCATTGGAAAAAAAACACATGAGAAACACTTGCATCAACGACGATTATAAGCAAGCTAAAGCTTAAAGTTTTGATGATTTTTTTAAAAGTTCTATACATATACGAACATCTAACACATACCCATAAATTTATTGAAAAAAAAGTGTATTTAATTACAGTTATTTTATGATTTTACACGCAATTATTTACAAAGGATAAGTTTTCGTTGGTTTCGTTTCATTTATTACATGTTGGTTCGTGCAATATTTTGTTCTTGTCACTTGTAATAGAAAAGTGAGTTACATAATGTAGAAACTACTACACTTTGGTAATATTTTGCATATGATACCAATAAACTTCCGCTTATCGTCTTCTAGGAATTTGGTTTGTAGGATCAACATATAATTTAAGACGCATAAGCTGAGTTTGCGGCTTAAAGATATAAAACATAATGAAATACAATCATCTTATACTTCCATACAAAATCTCTCAGTAACACACCTAACAATGGTACAAACGACAATACAACTCATACACCTCAGACACAGCCGTTGCTGACACGGGCTTAGCGAACTTGCGAAATGTGCAGAGTTTTGCAAGTTTAGCGGCTTCGCTGACAGCAACAACTACAAAAACACAACGCAAATCATATGCACAAAAATTGAAAAAAAAAAAATTTTTCAAGCTTAAAAATTCACTAAAAAAAAACATAATTAAAAAAAATTATCAAAGAAATAATAAAAAAAGACGGCGAAATGTTGTTTGAGCGCAAATAATTATGAAATAGTACAAACAAATCAAGAAAACATTGTTTAAAGAAGCAGTGTGTAAAAAAGGAAAATTTTGTAATAAAAAATATTTGAAATTTTTTTTTAAGTCAACACGACATTGAATATTAGAATTCAGTCGGGTAAAAGTAGTTGAAATTAAATTCAGTTCCGCGCAACAACAACAAAAATAGTGTAATTGCAATAGTGAAATTTCAGTGAAAATCAGGAATTTCGAAATTCTTTTTTTCAAAATTCTTTGCATACATATAATAATTACTTACAAAGATTGCAATTTGCAAACTTTACGCAAAGTTTTTAAACCACAAAATTGCAGTTTGCATTGAAAACATAAAAAAAGTGTGAAATTACTGAAATGAAAATTTCATGAAAACCACAAAAATTATTTAAAAAAAAAAAGTTAAATTTCACGTCAAATAACAACACATCATGACATAACATTTATAAATATGCAGCATAGTTGAAGATTGCGCATAAAAAATAAATAAATTTTTAATTATTAATAAAAAAAAGTTGAAAAATTCTCACGTTTAAATGAAGTTGACATAAATTATTCAAGTGTTACGCTAACAATGGCGACATAAAGTAAAATGTAGTTTGCATACTAGTCAAAACCAAAAAAAAAGAAGAAAATTTATATATATTAGCGTTCTCGCAAATTGTTACTAATCATTAGCACAAAAGTTAAAAAAAAGCATTAAACATAAATATATATATATACAAATATATACAGGTAAAAAGTTCGTTACAATTTATGCGCAAAAACATGTTTGAAAACAGAATTTAAAAATCATGCATTACTATATATATATAGTATATATACTGTCTCTTATACACATCTAGATGTGTATAAGAGACAGGCATAAACACATACACACGCATACAAATACATATATATATATACTATAAGAGAACTAACGCTCTACTAAGCTTAAGCATTAACTGACTTAAACTTACTTTTCCTCAGTTGTAAAGCATTTTTTGAGTTCACACTCGTTTCAGTTTGAGTATTTTCTTGGCGAGAAACTCAAAGAACAAAAACATTACACTTGAAACAGCAATTAAAAGTAAAAATACACAAATTTTTTCTCGCAAACAAACTATTTATATTAAAAACAATATTACAATAACTGTGGCGATCTCGAAACACCATCACCAACTGAGATCCCAAAAACTAATTAATAAAGATTAATGAAAAAAAAACAACAAAAATGTGGTAGAACTAAATTTAAGTTATTTCAATGAAAAAAGAGAAAAACCTAAAATATACAAAACTAACAAAAACATATATAGCAAGCATTAAAAAAAAAAGAATTTTCACAAAATTTCAATGTCGTTTCATGAAACGTTGAAAGTTCATAAATTGTAAAAAAAAATTAATTCTTAAAGTAAAAATTAAAAATTTATAGTGAAAAAAGCATATTTAGTAGTGAAATCAGCAGAATTTTTCAACATGCATTAGCAAACATAAACATTAAAAATAAAAGAATAAAAGATATATATGTAAATATGCATAAAAATCGAAAATACATATATATTCATTATATATATGTGTGTAATTCAAAAGTATACGTACATAAGTTTCATCAATTCGATTGATTGTTGTAATTATTAACAAATAATGCTGTAATACAGACATAATTCGCGATAACAAGCGAAGTTCGATTTTTGAGGGCCAAAACTGCAAGCAAGAAGAAGAAGCATATGTTTAGTAACAAGCAAAAAGTTAAATAAAACTCAAAATTAATTGAGTGTAATAGTAAAATAATTAATTAATTACCGACATACACAATCATAAAAAATAACTCGCATTGCAAATAAAAAATTGTAAAAAGTAATGCAAAAGCTTTTAAGCTCAAAATTACTTTCAAATTTCTTTTATGCTGCATACATTTTCATGATGGTGTAAATTTAAAAAAAAAATATATGTAAATATTTATATAACTCAAAATACAGCAAATTATAAACACTGAAAAAATTGTAAAACCAAGAAGTTGGGCGAAGTAAAAGCTTGCGAAAGCTACAAACTTTTTCCAAGCTCTTTCGGAACTTTTCGAGGCTTTTTCCAAACTTATGGAGAAAATAAGCTAGTGAAAGCGAAACAATTTATCTAAGCAAATCGCTTATGGAGGAAAAAGCAAATGAAAGCAACAAACTTTTCCAAGTTTTCAAAGCTCGAATATTTTTCCAAACTTATGGAGCGCAAGCCAGATAAGCTTTAAATAAATAAGAGAGCAGTAAATGGAAGAATACAAAAAATATATATATTCAGGCCAAAAACACTTAAAAGCTTTCGAAGAACGCAAACCAAAACAAATTACAGCAAAATAAAGCTGTTAAATAAATAAAACCGCTTAAAAGTAAACAGTGGCTCTAAAAAGCTCACGAAACCTTCGAAATATTAACGAACTTCAACTTCAAAATTGATGAAGAACCCAAACAACGCAATCTCAACAAAATATATGAAAGCTATTTGAAATCAAATGCAAAAATACAGCAATACGCAATACAGCTCGAGAGTCCAATGTGCTCTATATAAAGAAGCAAAGCAACTTACCATCGAAATAAAGCTTTCGCACATAAAAGTCTACACCTGCAAACAAAAAGCTTTACGTAAGGACACTATCAACTCGTTTGTTGAAAATTTTCAAAGCAGTAAGCGCATAAATTCAAAATCTCTGTAGCAACTTACAAATTATGCAAGTGAGCAGCTCTGAACAACAAAATAAATTGGACTATAAGGACTCTGTCAACTCGTCAGTTGGAAATTTTCAAAGCAGAAACGCAAAAAGTTCCTAAAATCTGAAAGCTCTGCAGCAACTTAAAAACTATGCAAGTAAGCAGCTGTGAACAGTAGAAAAACGGTCTAAAGCTACAACTCAAGTGTCCTTCACACAAAGCATAACATACTCTAAAAGCACAAAAAAATTGGAGTGGATTATCGGCTTTTCCTCAAATAAAAGAGCTTTACTGTTTATAATAAAGTTTCGTGGAACTTGCGCAAAACATTTCATGGCGTCATTTATATTTTAGAGAGCAGCTATAGATTACTTTAAGACGGGATTTCAGCAAATGGAAATTAACGGAAAAGGTGAGCAGTCTTCAACAGGAGCAATGTATAAATCGAAGAAAATAGCCCGAAAATAGAGCAAAACTATGCCTACAACAAAGAAATACTGAAATAAAACCAAACAAAACAAATAATTTATAAACTTCTACCTCGATGGATAAATGGCGGAGAGCAGAGAGCGGAGCGTGAGTGAGAGTGAGAGAGCGAATAAAGTTGTGTGTAGTAGAGAAGATATGGTATTATAAGTTCCTAAAAAATACACAACTTATGACGAAACAGTGGACAGCGGACAGCGGACCAACGAACGAAGGAACCTACGACTCTAACTAGTACACAAATCTGACCCTACACTGCAGTGACCAGCGGGCGGGTGTACAGCAGGTGACATAGTACAAAACAAATATATTTAAATAGAAAATACGAAAAACCCAAAAAAAGCATATAGTTTTAAGCAAGAGAAGGCGCAAAACAGCGATTAAGGAAAAGTGGAAAAAAAATCAAATTGAAATGTTTCCCGGGGGGTAAATGATATATGAGAGGTGTGGTAGGAAGATGTAAGAGACAGCTGGAGCAGAAGGTCTGAGGTTTGCAAAACGAAAGAGTGGACAGCAAACAGTGACAAAGCTAACAAACAACAAACAAAACAACTTTAAAGCACATAAACTGACTTTCCGACAGCTAAAATAAAAATATAAACAAAAAACGGTTTCTGTGGCGTTGAGCTTTTAAGGTGGAGAGAGAAAGGGAGGGGAGATAAAGGAAGAGAGAGATAAAGAGGGAGAGAGGGATACAGAGATGGTCAGAGTAGGTCAGAGTTGATGAGCGTAGTATTCTTGCTACTAAAGCACAGTGAGAGCGTGTGATCTTGTGAAGCGACCACTGAAATCCTCATTGAAGTTATAGCTAGCTACTTTTTAGAGTACATCACGCCTACTTTTCGACAAAATAAAACTTTCTAGTGGTAAAAAAAAAATTTATATTATTTAAAAAACTATATATTTTACTTAATGTGATTGAAACAACAAAATTATAAGCAAAAATTATAACAAACTCTATATGGAT